GCTGCATTATTTAGAATAATTTCTGTCTCAAATAATAACCGCTGCGTAGGAATTCTGGTACTGCAAACAAACTGTTATTTTTACGAAATAAACAAATCTAAGGACCGTAATGCCGTTGCCTATCAAGTTCCTAATGCATACTTCACAAATCTAATTTCAGCTTATACTTTTCAATTTAGCTGCCATATCGTGAAGAATTGGGAAAACGTGCAAAAATCTGCAGTCGAAAATAGTCGTTAGTTCACAATTGTCTCTTAGGAAAGATCAGTTGTCTTGAGCAGTAAGCAATGCACTCAGAAAACAGTGCAAGTAATAAATTTCTCATTCTGTCTGTTGTTCCGTACTTACTTCATAAAACTATGAGTTCAATAAAAGTGACGAGCATCAGGCTTGCCGATGTGATCATGCACTTTTGTAAGGTTCACGCAATAATTAGATCACTAACAGTAATGGCATTCACTGCTTCACAGTTCAATATATTCGCATGTGTTCCTGTCGGTTTTTTGCATGTTCGAAGAGCAGATCCATCGCTGAGCAGGCGGTATTGCACAGCAGAGCTTCGTGAAATTTCAACCTCCCAGGTTGTTTGATTAAAGCAAGTAGGAAACGCCGACAATTTGAAAACCCAGGTTGAAACGTGCCAGGCTTGCCGGTGGCATTTTGCACCAGACTTAAAGTACTCAGATCATTAACTGCACGAATGGTTGTTGGTTTACACCTCCCTTTTGCGCTCACTGCCATAAATCACCATAAATTTTGCATAAAGCAAATGAACAATTTCAATTTAACGGTCCTTATTTGAAAGTAACTTAGCTGTTCAGAGAGCAATTTTCCTGCCAAAACTTTTGAGTGCCCAACGTGAGAACCACGCATTCCTGAAGACTCAATTTGAAATATTTATGTTGTACTTGGACAGGGGGCATTCCCCTAAAATTTCAGCTCCTTTCTTTTCTGGTTCCCGAGTTAGAAATTTCCCTGCCAAAACTTTCATGCGTCCTTATGTGAGTACATCGCATATTCGGAGGCCAAATTTGAAAGCTTTAGCTCTTGCATACACAGGGAATATCCCTGCAAAGTTTCAGCCCCTTACCTTGTCTGACCCCTGAGATCGCTTTCCAGCCAAAAAATTGCATATTTTTTTAAAGCGTCAGTGCGCGGCACCCAGGCATAAGCGGACGATGATATTAAAGCGGAGAGTCGCGCATTGTGTGGGCAAATACTCCCAAAGATTCAGCCTTCAAGTTTTTCTAGTTTTCGAGTTGAAAGTGGGTGCCAAAAAGTGCGAAAACACAGACACATACACACAGCCTCTTCCCAATATGCCTATTTGCAATTTGCATATATGCAAAAGCGCATAATGAAACTTGACGTATTTACACGCAAGGCGAAAGAGCACGTAAAAGTTCAATTTTTACTTGCGGGCCTGTGCTCGGGCTGCAAATATCTACGCAAATGATAGTTTTTTGTTCAACCTGGCTTTCGTTTTGAAAAGATGCCAATAATTTTGCTACTTGAATTTTCCCCTCACGTGAAAGCTAAGAGTGGGGCATTTAGGATCACGCATGAACGAGTAACATCCCTGTAAAATCTTAGCCTTCTGGCCTGCCTGATTTCCAGAAGAGAAAGTTGTCAACGGTTTTGTAATTTGAATATTTGACTGTCTCGAATGCAGATCATATGCGCACTCGAAAGCTCTTTTTATGGTTGTGGTTCCCTACATGTACGAAAAATATCCTCATAAAGATATTGCCTCTACTCATTCTAGCTCTCGTACCAACAATGTCTCAGCATATTTGAACAGCAACCGTAGTTTCTCGAATTCTTACAGCAATGCTGTAGTTTCCAAGTTACTCTTCTACGAACGCCAAAAGGAAAGGCTGCTAGGAACTGCTCAATTGCTCTGCTTGTATCCTCTTCATGTTCCGAAATACAGCCACTTACCTAGACTTTGAAGCCTTTTAATGCCGAATCAGTTGTCAGAAAAGTTTCTTTTCTGCCATACGCTGTTGTTTTTTGTATACAGCTGTTTTTACACGATATTTCTTTTGAAAATAAACGTTTTTGCTTATACAGAAGGGTGAATTGTTAGAGTACTTGACGCACTGTGATCTGGAGGATGTCATACATGCACATCACTGAGATCTGGAAGATGTCACACATGCACATACGAATACCTCATTCCTGAAACTGGAACACAAGAACAGATAGTGCTATGGTAAACATATCGCAACGAAGACAACGAAGACAATGAGTTCGGTCCTCTTACAGTCTATATTAGGTATGGGCAACCTTTGACGACACATGGGCCTAATTTACGCATGTTAGTACGAAGGCCAATTTTATTAAAACCTAGGTAGTAACGCACCAGGCTTGTTCCTGTGATTATGTATTTTTGCGCTAAACTTGATGCAGTCAGATGGTCAACAGTGTGAGTGGTTGTTGCTTTACAATGTAACATATGCAACTCGTATGCCTGTGTCTTGGTTTTTTCTTGCATGAGAGAGAAGAGTGCGCCAACTGGGGCGGTATTTTTGCATTATGCCTCTCCACGTTGTTGAGTTGAAAAGCGAGTGACAAAGTTCACTCGCTTCTGAATATATATATATATGTATATATATGTATATGTATATATGTATATATATATATATGTGCAAATGCTCTCGATATCATGCGCTTTTGCATTGGCATAAGATGCAAAAACGCATAAAAACAAATAAGTTTTTATCAGGTTGTTTATTCAGTAAAAAAAAATAAACAACAGCAAGAAAACTGAGCTCTGGGCTTGAACTTTTGGCGTGATTGTTGAAATCTGTATTTATTTCACTAATACAGGATCTCAAAGTATTTCCCAGATTGCCGTCTGTTAGCCTCGTGGGTATTTTGGTTTTCTCATGCGTTTTTGCATATATGCAAATTGCAAAAACGCTCATTGGGAAGAGGCTTCTGTGTGTCTGTGTGTTTGCACTTTTTGTCACCCACTTCAACTCGAGAACCAGAAAAGCTAGAAGGCTGAAACTTTGGGAGTATGTGCCCATGCCACACGCGATCCTCTCATTTTAGTTTCATCCCCCGCACTCTCCTGGGTGCCGTGTACGGACGCTTTAAAAAATATGCGAATTTTTTGGCGGGAAAGCGATCTCGGGGGCCACATGAGCTAAGAGGCTAAAGCTTTGTAGAGATATTCCCTGTGCATGTACTAGCTAAAGATTTCAAACTCCGTCCCCAGGTATGCGTGGTATTTACGTAAGGGCGTATGAAAATTTTAGGGGGGAAATTGCTAACTCGGGTACCAGGGATGCTAGAAAGCTGAAATTTTGAGAGAATGTTCCCTATCCAAGTACAACTCAAATATTTCAAATTCAGCCCCAAGCTATGCATTGTACATACGCAAGGGTGTATGAAAGTTTCTGCAGAAAAATTACTAACTCGGCAACCAAGATGGAAGGCTGAAATTTTAGGCGAATATTCCCTGCCCACGCGCTATTTAAAAGTTTCAAATTCAGCTTTCCAAGCGCGTGGAGTCCCCAAGTATAGGTATGTGAAGGTTTTGGCGGGAAAATTGCTAACTCGGTAACAAGAAAAGCTGGAAAGCTGAAATTTTGAGGGAATGTTCCCTGTCCAAGTACAACTTAAGTATTTCAAATTCGGCCTTGCGGTATGCGTGGTTATTAGGTGCAGGCACTTAAAGGTCTTGACGAAAAAATTTCTCACAGAACAATTAAGTTACTTTTAAAAAACGACTGTTAAATGGAAATTGTTCATTTACTTTGCAAAATTTATGGTGATTTCTGCTGGTGACCGCAACAGATAGCTGTAAAGCAACAGTGATTCGCACAGTTAATGACCTTAGTAATTCAAGTCCGGTGCAAAAACGCATGATTGCGCAGGCCCGCCCGGTACGTTCCAGCCTGGGTTTATTTTCATGAGAGTGCAGAGGCATGGCGGAGTACAGAACTCAGTTAGTGTAGTTAGGCACCGCATTCCGATTCCCTTCGTGGGACGAATTAAAACGCGGGCTGCTAGCCGCACATGTGTGATCTATACATTTGCAAGAAGGACCCAAAATACCGTAAATAGTATTTGGTGAGGTGCACCTCAGGATGACCAAAGCACATGTGGGTTTACTTCAGTAGCGTCACTATTACTTAATCCCATGCAGTAGTTTCGGGACAGATTTGATCATCCAGTTAAAATTCTTTTAAACTGCTTTGACACAGCAAAAACTTTAAAAAAAACATCCAAAGCCTTTCCAGCATTTTTATTCATGCAGTGATAGCAAGTTTTTAACTACCGGACTAATTATAATTTTCCAATAAGCTATCATAATTATAATAGCTAAATATTTTAAAGTTTTATTGACTTCGCGAAAAAAGTTTAACACAAAGAAACACTTGGGACTGGCGCCTTTATCATCGATTATTTTGGTAGCGGGCTCAGCGTGATCTGAGAAACCCACCTTCTTCTACGTGGTACAGTTATTTCTGGGTGGTTGATGTTCACATTTCCTGTCTTGATGCTTTTTTCAGATGGCCTTTCAATTCAGTGTTGAAATTGTTGGGATAGCTAACAATATCTGTGCTTTTTGCACACCGTAGTTACACGTTGGGTTCGTTAGTAAGGTGAAGAACATCTGCTAGTCTCTGGTTTCTCTGTTCGATGCCTCCGCAGTAGATGCCTGGAGGCAAATAATGTTCGGAAGAGAAGGGGTGTTAGTGATAGGCTGTGAAGATAAAAATAGAGCTCGAGCTGTTGAAGCTGCTCTGGAGAAAGACGTTATCGTGCAGGATGCCGCCGCATCTTCCTTCTCACTGAACTAGAGAAAATTCCCCCTACTTTTCAATCCAGACACGCAAACATATACACACACACTGGAATTTGCAGAACCACAGTGGAGCAGTGAAGCAGTAACACAGCAATTTATCCCCTCGGAGATCAGTTTACTGATCCGGCAGCAAGAGAAGAAAGGAAGGAGCAGCTGAGCACCAATCGTGGCAGCAAGCATGGCTGATGACGAAGATATCAAGGACGAAGCCGAGGAGCCTCAAGGTAACGAAGATGCCGATGAAAATGCAATGGTATGTTTTACTTTAATGGCAGGTACGTGGTAAACTGACATAATGGAATTATAGCACTAATTAGCTGCTACTGCAAACTGTAATTAGTTCGGGCTGTACCTACCAAAGCGCGTCCCCTACCCTGACTGGTTAGTCTTTGGCATGTCACACTGTGTCATAAACTTGTGACGTCTTCAACTTCCTTCCCATATACTTTTGGTAAAGAAGAACAGTGGGACATTGAGTGTCTCTTACACTGCTTTAGCTCAATCGTTTTCTTATTTTATACTTTCAGGAGTACAAAATGAATTTGTCACTTAATTTCGAAGTCACGCTAGGGTAGTTTGAAACGGTAGGTAAAACTGATAAAAGCAAACGATTTTATTGAGTGTGCAGATCTTTTTATAGAAATCTGCAGAAACAAACTGGGCCATTTTTAAGGGCTCTCTAGACGAACCTAAAACGCTGCAGTCACATACTGAGCCTTTGAATGCTTCGAGTAATGTAATATTAGAAAAGAGGAGAAAATTGTGATTGAAATGAACCAGGTTGTCGGCACAGTGATAATAGAGCCCTTCATCTCACATTCATACTGATATCCCAGGAAACTGATTCGAAAAAAGCGCCGCCACCGCTTGGGCTGAAGAGCCCCACGCCGGGTCGCCAGTATGGAGTACCAGAAGCACCCCGATCTGTGCAGCGGCGAATGGCCAATTATTCTGGTGGTAAACCATCAAAACATGATAAGGACAAATTGATGCGGTCTGAGGGAATTATTCCGATTCAGGCTGGCTCCAACAAATATGCATCACAACGAGGAATGACTGGTATACTTTGACGCGCTTTTGAACAAGCTCTAGAAAGCACCGCTTCAGCTTATGTACCAACTTCGTCCTTTGGAATTCATCCGGGCCGTGATTTTTCTGCCACATAGTGACTTCTAAGTTAGACTCACCACTTTTTCCGAAATACTTGCATGCGGTTCTATTCCTAATTTTCATTTGATGCGTATGCCAGCTCTTTAGAAAATTGCATGTCCGATTAATCCGCACAATAAAATCAGATGGCTCCAACACCAGACTTCTTTTTGTACGACTTCTTACTGTGCTGAAAACGCTTGAACTCACACGTACTGTCATATTTTCCGAAAATTTCAGATTCTTAACTCAGCTGGCTCCCAAAATCGCTTTCCTTTCAAAAAAGAATTTGGCATGCCCACACACGCCCGCACACATGATACAGGCGTACGTGATTGCTTAATTTACGTATAAGAACTCGTACACAGCAAATATTTTAGTGAAATTAGAGGAACCTACTCAACCTAGTCTCGGAGTTGACATTTTGCCAGTCGTTGCGAAATTTCAATTTGGATACTTCCGTACGCATGACGTGTAAGTCCGTTCAGGCTTAGTTTGAGGTTTTTAGCTCACATAAAGGCAAAGAAAATCTGTATGAAGTTTCACTTTCAGTTCTTGTCTAGTTCACAAATTCCTTTTTCCGCCAAAAAATTAACATAAATTTTTTAGGCGTCCTTGGGACCCGTACATTAGGCCCAAACGTGCATAAGCGATCATTTTAATCTAGGCTGGAACGGTGGGCTGGGTTTGAAATCTTTAAGTTGTACTTGAGCAACGGACATTCCGCTAAAATTCCAGCTATCGTGGTTTGCGAGTTAGCAATTTTCTCGCCAAAAATTTCACATGCCCGTACGCGGAGCTGGAACGTCGTAGAGGATGGTATCGCGGTTTTGGGGAAATCCACTGGTAAAATTTCAGCCCCAAAGCTTGCTTGGTTGCCAAGTTAAAATACACGGAGAGACGCGCACACAGGCAAATACATACAGACAAACGTATACACAATCACAAACAGCATGAGTCATCACAATGTGCATTTTTATATGTTTTTACTTGTATACAAATGCAAAAATGCAGATTGTGACGACCCACGATGTGCGTTTGTGTATTTTTGTGTGGGTCTTTCAATTTAGCAACCAAGCGTGCTTCGGCGCCGAAATTTTGCCAGTGACTTCCCTGGCCTGATATCACTCCAAGAGCACTTGCCACCTCTGAGCCCCGAGTGCAGGCACGTGAAAGTTTTGAAGGCAGAACTGTTGACTGTGGAACCAAAAAGCTACGAGGCTGAAATTTTGAAGGGTTGTTTTCCATCCACGTATGACTTAAAGATTCCAAATTCGGCTCCCAGGTGAAAGCGGTTCTTATGTACGAGCATGTAAAAGTTTTTGCGGGAAAATTGCTAATTCGGGAACTAGAAAAGCTGGAAAGTTGAAATTTTAGTAGGACGTTACTTGTCCATGCACGATATTTCAAAATCAGTCCCTAGGATGCTTGGTTTCCGCACGGGACGCTTAAAAATTTTAGCGGAGAAATTGCTCACTGAATAATTTTTAAAAAAATGACCGTTAAAGCACGACTCTTCATTTCCTTTATTCAATATTTCAAGATAATTTACGCTAATGGGTATATATAGTAAACATAAAGTAGTTAAGGAACCTAATGCTTCAAGTTTAGTGCAAAAACGCATGATCGCACTGACAGGCCTGGCGTATTCCAGCCTACGTTTTTATGCGTTTTTGCATATATGCTGTTGGGAAGAGGCTGTATGTGTGTGCGTGTGTCTCTGTGTTCGCGCTTTTTGTCATCCACTTTCAACGTGAGAACCAGAAAAGCTAGAAGGCTGAAACCTTGGGAGTATGTGCTCATACCGTGCGTGATCCTCTCGTTTTAATTTCATCCCCCACGGAGGCCTGAGTGCCGTTTACGGATGCTTTAAAAAATATGCAAATTTAGGGATTGAAACTTAGTAGGGATATTTCCTGTGCATGTATTAGTTAAAGATTTCAAATTCAGCCCCAAGCTGTGCGTGGTACTCACGTAACGGTGGATGAAAGTTTCTGCAGGAAAATTACTAATTCGGCAACCAGAAAAGCTGGAAAGCTGAAATTTTGGGGCAGTGTTTCCTGTCCAAGTGCAACTTAAATATTTCAAATTCAGCCTTGAGGTATGCGTGGTTCTTACGTATGGACACTTAAAAGTCTTGGCGGAAAAATTCCTCACTGAACAACTAGGTAACTTTTAAAGAACGACTGGTGAGCGGAAATAGTATATTTACTTTGCAAAGTTTTATGCTAGTGACCGCAAAAAGTAGGTGTCAAGCAACAGCCATCCATGCAGTTAATGACCTGAGTACTTCAAGTCCGGTGCAAAAACACACGATCGCACGGGTCCGCCCGGTGCTTTCCAGCCTGGGTTCTTTATGCAAAACTTAGGATGAATTGTGTTAACGCACAAGGTAAGTATAAGACAGCAACCATTCATACTGTTTGCGATTTGACTGCTTTAAATTTAGAGCAATTTAGTGCAAAGACGCATGACCGTGTTGGTACCCCTGGTGCGTTACAGCCTAGGTGCATTTGCATACGTGGAAAAGTGTATAAAAACAGCATAACACACGAAACGGAAACATTTTCCAAAAGTTTCAGCTTCCTAGCTTCCCTAGTTCCTGGGTCAAATTCTTCGCTCATAAGGCCTAGATCTCGCATACGAACTCCCAAAAAATATGCAGATTTCTTTGACGAGAATCGATTTCATGAACCAGAAAAGATGAAAAGCTAAAACTTTGCAGGAATTTTCTCTGTACATGCGTGATCTAAAAATTTCAAATTTAGCCATCGCACGCTCCTACATCACGCGTTTGGTTACGTCAGATTTCGCAGTTGACACAGTGTCAACTTGAAAACTAGCCGGGAAACAGGAGTTGAAATTTTATCAGGATATTTATTGTTCGTATAGAAAATCATATATCTAAATTGAGTTTCGATTTGCGCGTGCGTCATGTCAAAAACATTTGTAACGAAGTGGCTATTTCGCTTATCAACAGATTGCGAAGCTGTAATTTTGCAAGGATATTCTATACTCACGTGTGGTCTTAATTCAGTTTGGAGGTGGAATTCCCTGCAAACAGACATGAGAAATACTCAACTTTATCGCAAACTCAAGAGCTAGCGCATTTTGCAGATTTCGTAGCCTTCTTTCGACTTCCTTCGAATTTGCATTTGTTCAGTGGATGCGCATTTAGCAGAAGAACAACCGGATTTCATGCGGAAGCTGATAATCATGTACGCTGGAAGTCTATGCAGCCTCATAATGCAATGCCTTCATCCCAGGCGACGCACTTTCCACTGCATGCAGGAAGAGGCCAGTACGTAGACAGTATAAATCCAAGTGTTAAGTTGCAGCTCGGGAGCCTTTCTTGCTGTTGGCGATCAGCAAGCCTGGCGCAGAAACGCTAAATCGCACCGAAAAGCCTGAAGCGTTGTAATCTGTGTTTCAATTATTATTTGCAACAAACCGCTGCGGATGCAAACTCGCAACTGTTTATACCTGAAAATGCAATAATACGCTGCCTTTTGCATTTGCGATCTTATTTGTGAGTGAAACCATTCAATAACACATGTTGCGCAGCATTATTTCATTTGACAGCAATTTATAGTTTGTAATATTATATGACGATGTAAGGAATGGATATTTCGGGGGTAAAACCATTTTGGTGTTAGGGCAAATCTTTTACGTCCTGTGCTGGGAAGTAAGAGAAAAGTTAATTTTAAGTTCGCAGGTGTATGACTGGGCAAAAATCATGCTCCATCCCCAAACCACTGTTATGCGTTTTGCTGTGCAGAGTTATAGCGCTTTTACAGCGAGCAAAAGCGCATACTGTCAAGAGGTCGTCTGTGTGTGTGTGTGTTCGGAAGCGAGTGAACCTGGTTCACTTTCATCTCAGCAACCAGCAAAGCTGGAAAGCTGAAATTTTGGTTATATGCTCCTACCCCGTGTGTCATCCTCCTGTTTAAAATTTCCACTCATACGCGCCTGGACGCTGCATACGGACCCCCCAAGAAGATATGCAAATTTCTTTGGCGGGAAACGATTTCGTGAACCAAGCAAGGTACAAAGCTGGAAACTTGAAGGGATACTTTCTGTGCATGTGCATGTTAAGAATTTCAAATTTAACTGTTACGACGCTTGTGTAGCACATACGATCACTCCAAAGTTTGCAACTTTGTACTGTGCTAACTCAAAAACTTGTCAGCATGTTTATCGCCTATATGGGAAATCGTACATCTAAAATGAGTACCGATTTGCACTTGCGCCACGAGTTAGGGCATTTGAAAAATATTTGTAGCGAAGTGGCTATTTCATTTATCGGATAAGGTGTAAGGCTGAAACTTAGCTGAGATATTCTACTTTCAAATACGGTCTTAATTTTGCTTGGAAGTAAAATTCTGTGCTCAACTTTACCGAAAAATCAGAAACGAGTACATTTTGCAACGACCGCCCTCATCCTCTCTCAATATCCAGTTCATTTATATCCTTGGATGTTTTGACGAACGACCGCACTTGCAAAACTTCTCCTTTTTAGTGAAAAACGGAAACTCTTGCATTTTCGAAAATCTGCATTCTTCATTTTTATGCGTTTTTTGCAGTTATGCAATGCAAAAAACGCATATTGACGAGAGGTTGTCTGTGTGTTCGTGTGTCTGTGTGCCTGTGTGTGCGTCTGTCACGCACTTTCATCTCCGGACCTATAAAAGCTGCGATGTGTCTGTGTGTGCGCTGGGCCTCTGTATCGGTTTTTCATCTCGAGACCGGCAAAAGCTACGGAGCTGAAACTTTGGGGACTTGTGCGTGTGTGTGTGCGCTGCGCGTCTGTACCGATTTTTATGCGTTTTGTGCTGTGTAACAGCCGCGTTTTTTGCAGCTATGCAATGCAGAAAACGCATATTGACGAGAGGTTGTCTGTGTGTGTGTGTGTCTGTGTGTC